ACAGGAAAAAGTCTATTTGAGGTTAATGACCCTCCTGGAATATACCCCCCAAAAATCTGTCCATCAGGTAACCAAGAGTTTAGTGGAGCCATTCTTTACTACTTCTTTGGGAGTTAAAGTTACCCCTTCCCTTTGCTTGACTCTGTACTGAATGGTGGTGTTTCACACACCACCCTGCCTAGGTAATCCTTCTGTCTCCACCTGCTTCTTTAATCATTCCAGGTTCAATAAGCAATGGCAACAGCAGCAAAAAGTACGTCATCACTAATGGAAAGCATCCCATGGACTCTGCTTTTCTGTTGTCATTGGCTCAAGAAAGCTTGATTTGACTTCTCTCTCTCTCTCTCTCTCTCTCTCTCTCTTTTTGGAGATGCTTTTGCTATAGGGTGCATGAGCTTGCCAGAAAGACAGAGAGAGACAGAAGGCGAGAAATCACCCAGGGGGATGGCCATGCCACAATCCCTTCTCCTTCATTCTCCTCTCAGGATCTTGGGCATGCACGCACACGCACCCGGTGTGAGTTTAAGCCGCTGAGTCCGGGACTCAAACCATAGTCAACTACTTGGGAGTCCAGCGACATAGCCATTACGCCAACTGCTGGTCCCGATTTGACTTCTCTTACACCTTCTCTACGATCACCTACCACAGAGATGAAAGACGTGTTTGCATCAGCTAAACCACAGTATCCCAAGGTGGCTCAAGCTGAACTGTGTGGCCATTTGGTGGGTCTTCCCTCCCCTCCCCAACCAGTGCGTGCTCTTGCTCTAGAAGAGGACAATAGCATTGAGCTCTCTGCTGAGGCCAGTTGCAAAACTGGCAGCCACACACACCTGAGCCTCCAGGCCTCTTCTGCCCTCTGCTGACTCTAGTTTTCAAATTAAATACCCAAGCTAAAAACAAAAAACATAACCCTTGCTTGAAACCTCTCACCTTAGAAGCTAGGAGGTTTCAAACGCCAGAGAAGTTCCATTTTACAGGTTCTATTATGTAGGTAGATAACCCCCATCAAAGGCCTTTTGATCTTTTCTCTGTCTTCTTTTCCTTACCCCCTGCCTCTTCGTACAATTTGGAAGGTCTTTGACCCCAAGTGATTGATGATGACCCTTGCAGGGTCACTGCCTCCCATTTAAAATACTTTTCCCCCCTGGTGACAACAATCTTGCAAATGAAATGACTCCCAAGTCCTACAAGGTGAATGTCACAGTTCCTACTTTGCAGTGACCACCTCACCTGTTCATATGTGTAGTTTTATGAAGAGAGAACTTTGAGGCTCAAGTCTGGGCAAAAATCTGAGCCTTGATGTTGCCTCAGAAACTACTTTTTGGGGATTTTCTTGGAATTGGATTAAATGTCAAAGATGCTTTTACAGTTGTGAGAACTACTCCCACACTGCTAAGAATCTTTAATTTGCTTGTGCTGAATTGACGTATGTTTCATTTCAAGTCTCTTCTTTTTCCTTTTCGACCATACCTGGCAAGTCTTAATTCTTGGTTATATCTAAATTTCCCTTCTACAGCTTGTCTTTTTGACCTCAAAGATACAGCAGTTTAAAGCGTGCTTGAGTGCTGGGTGCTGAGCTACTGTGGGTTTCGTGAAACCTTCTGCTTCAGTTACTACATCTGTAAGATGGGAGCGACTGCTTTTAACTTTTCAGAGGAGAGTAAGGTGGTCTATTAGAAAGAGACAGAGGCTCACTCCTCACACCAGACAGACAGCTCTTCATCTTTTCCTGGTTTAGAAATAGCCATTTTTCTACTCTGGTCTGGGTGCCTGAACCCTAAGGGCAAGGGCTATACCTGTCTGTCAAGATGACGAGTGTGAATATAAGATTAGCTCTGGAGTCAGCTGTGTTCATTTCTTCCTGATTTTTTAATTTTTTCTGTGAGTTGATTTTAAAACAAAACTTTTACTCTTAAACTTTTGTTTAGTTCTGCTCTGTAATTTGGATCTTGAGAGCAAAGAGATGATTGACAGTTCAGGTTAAAAAAAATAATGATTTACAATGTTGCCATGAAATGACTTATTCCTATTCACAATAGATCAGGAATCAATTCCCTTTAGTTCCTTGCATGTATCATTGACTTTGAACTGAATAAATATTTATGAACTGAATATTTGTAAATGCTTGTTATGGGGCAAGACAGAGCTCAGATGAAAATGTGAGTAGCTCATGGAAAAAGAATGATCAGTGTTCAGTTTGGGAATTATAATAGAAGTTAGAACATCCTAAAGCATTTCTGAGACTCAGTTTTATTACAGTCAAGTTGTAAAATACCTGCACAAGATTATTTCACTATATTACTCACTAAACATAATCTTGTTATTTAAAAATGTTATTATTCCAGAGGAAAATAGTTAAATTAGATTCTGAACATTGGCCTAGTTATGGTGCTACAAGTAGAGGGCACTGGTGTGTGGTGGCTGAACCAGCATGGGAGCCCCTGGTTCGGTTCCTAGCCCAACCTAAACAGGCAGCTGCGGTGCTGGTAACTGGGTGGCTGGGATAGGATAATTGTGACTCAGTGAGACCCTACCAAAAATACTCCTCTTTCTCTTCTCTCACCTTCTCCTGCTCTCTTTATCTCATTAAAACAGTTTTTTTCAATAATATAAAGTTGTGGCTGGGACAGGATAATTGTGACTCAGTGAGACCTACCAAAAATACTCCTTTCTCTTCTCTCACCTTCTCCTGCTCTCTTTATCTCATTAAAACAGTTTTTTTCAATAATATAAAGTTGCTGTGTTAATGTTTTCACCTAGCAGTATTTGAGAAGGTATTGGAGTACATCTCTACAGTTTTAAAAAGTTGAACTTATTTATCACATTACATACTTTCACTTAGCATGCATTTTTTTCTCCATAAAGGTGTATGTGTGTGTGTGTGTGTGTGTGTGTGTGTGTGTATGTATGTATATATATATGTATATGTATATATATATATATATATATATATATATGCATATATTTACTGAATAGGATAATTTGAGAATGTTGCTTAAGTAAGGTCTTTGCTCTATTTTAAAATTTTCTTTACACTTTGGCAAAAAAGTTGGCAACTGTCCCTGGAAGAGTGTACTTTTGCATGTGTACTCATTACATGGTTAATAAGTATTTCTCTCTTTCTTTTTCTTTCTTATAATAAGGATACAGAAAGCTGCTTGTATTTAAAAGTACTGTAGTTTCCTGTGGAACTAAAATGAAGATTATTTTTTAAAGGACTTTTACCACTCTACCTCAAGTTGTTCTGCTCTTTTCGTTCCTGACATCTGTCTGCCAGCATCTGCACAGTCTTGAAAGTGAACGAGGAGTAATCAGAACATGTGTAAATCACTGCCAGTGATCCCCCAGAGACTGATACTGTAGTGGTAGGGATTGCTAGACACAGTCTTCAGGGGACCCTGTGCCTCAGAGAGTCATGAGAAACTTTTAATATCGTGATTTGGCTAGTTGTTTCGCTTCATGTCCATGTAGCTCTGTTTCTTTGTCTCTGGTAGTCTCTCTCATTTTCTGCAAGTTAACTTTTTATATGCATGGGGAAAAGCTAAAGGGACACCTCAGCAGGGTCTTCATATGCAACCCTCCCCCGAGCTGTGCAGCCATCTAGGATCTCAGACAGAGCTTTCCCATACAGCGTCCAGCTTCACACAGCATCACTCCCACTGCCTGGGTCACCACAGCAGGGCCTTTAGCATAAGTTTTGGCTACTGGAAATGATTCCTTTAGCAGTACTGTGAAACTAACTCTGCAAACCTTCTCCATAATGCACACTATTTCTTTTCAAGAAAATTACTAATTCTCCTAGGTGTTTTTGTCATTTTTAAAAATTTAACCCTCAGGCTACGTCTGTCTCTATTAAAGGAAATAACACCTGAGATAATCCAGGTCTCCCTGAAGTCACTTGTAAAAGTCTTCCTCTATTTCCTCCCCAGTCTCCAGACTGATTTAATGTGCTCAGGTGTTTGAAATCCTTAATGAATTACCTGACAGTTCATTTGGTTTCAGTGAACTGCATGACGAATGAGTCAGTCATTGGCTTGCTGTAGACTTGGCATATTAAAGAGAAACAATTGATTGAGTAATCTTCCATAATTCAATGCTCTTAATGTTCCAGGAATAATTCATTTCTACTTTTAAACTTTGTTAAACTCTTCTCTCTCAGATGCTTCACATAAGAGATGAGCAACCTTAGAAACTGGAAATTGTTTCTGGAAGACCTTAGGGGGAAAAGGTGTATTCTAGAGAAATCAGGGTCCATCAGAAATACTTCTTAGGGAACATTTTTATTTCTGTTGGAAGAAATGCTAAAGAAAATGTTCCAGAAAGATAAATTGGATCATTTTATAGACTAAATTTAATTTATAGAAGTACTTAATCTTTGAGGTAATTGGCAAAAAAATATTTTTTTTTCATTCAGCCAATTGATTCAGATTTACAAAGTTTTAAATGTTGTCTGTGAGTGCAAGGCAGTCATCTTCCATCCTGGAATGTTCTCAAGGTGACATCTAGAGGATGTTGTGGTGATATCCAGGAAGTCATTGATATTTTTATATTCTAGAAGGAAGTTTTGTCAAGTAGCTAGCTTAAATCAAGTCTCTTCTTATATTACATGGTGCTGTAGAAGTGAGTAAGTATTGTGGATTCACAGTGAGAGTCTTCTTGCACAATTCGTCTGGATAAAAGTAA